ATATCTTCAATATCAATTTTAGTTATCATATCGTCATGTGTTCTAATATATAATTATACTGATTCTCGGCTTGGTCCATTGGTATACTTGAACTTTTTTCAAAACACTGTGTGCACCTCTACGTATCGCTAGAGTCTAATTCTGTTATTTATATATGACATATATATATATATATATATATATATATATATATGTATGTATATATAAATTTTTTTTTCGATGAAAGTTATTGGAAGAGAAGAAGAAGAAGGATCGAGAAAAAAGGAAGGAAAGATTTTTTTTAAGAAAGAAGGATTTACTATGAAGGACATATGATATCGATGATGAAGAGAGGAAGGAGGAAGAAGGAAACGAACTAGAGAGAGAAAGAGAGAGAGACAAAAAGATCGTCGATGATGACTCGATGAGGAGAAGGCTGGTGTTTCCGATGCTGCTGTTGCTGCTTGCTGGTGGGGGGGAGGGTGTTGAAATGGGATAGGATGGAGGGTGTAGGGTGAAAAAAGTTAAGGGTGGAAGAATGGATGTGGAAATTGAGGGGAAATTTTTGATGGTTTTTTTTTGCTTTTTTTTTTGTTTTTTTTTTTTTTTTTTTTTTTTTTTTTTTTTTTTTTTTTTAATCTATGGACCAACTCGGTGGATTGGTTTTGTTGGATTTTAGGTTAATCTGATTGATTGGTTGGATAAATGGTTGGTTGGTTAGTTGATTAGTAGGTTGGTTGGTTTGTTAGTCGGTTGTTGATCGGTTATTTGTTGTTTTCTTATATCTTTTGTTTTGTTTTTTTTTTTCTGACTATTTCGTAAACGATCGTGGGAAGATCATCGATCTGTGGGTCTGTGCCTGGGCGACGTTGAAGATCCGCCACCTACGGCTTACCTTGCGAAGCTCTTGAATGCCGCGGACTGCGGATTTATGCAGAGCGGCACGCGCGACGTATTCAGCTGCTCCGCTATAAATTTGTGCATTTCCTCTGTAACAAGATAAAAATGACAAATTTGTTTCGGGTTTAACAATGGACACGTTGTCTTAAGAAATTCTGTTGGATTTTTTTTTCTTTTTATTTTTTCGTTTATTATTTTTTTGTTTTTTTTTTTTTTTTTGTTTTTTTTCCCATTCCGATTCATTATCCGCATCGTGATTACGATCAAGATTAATGAATGAATTTCATACGGGTTAGAACAGTTTGATTAAATAACATGAATATACACGTCCATAATCGATAGAAAAAAGATATCCAGATATTCTTGGCTTATTTTATTTCTCTTACCTTTCACCTGCTGCACGCTCGTCAGTTTTCGCTCCCAGAGATCATCGAAGGGATGAGTAGTCGCTGGCTCGAAATCCCCAGTGTACTGTCTCATCCCAGCACTCGTTGTGTAGCAACACGTGCACATGCACGAGTGATATCTGAGTCTTCCCTCGTCCAGATAAGGATGCGCCAGGGCATCCACCACGGTGATCCTCTTGTCCTGTGGGAACATTGAGGGAGTGGTCTAAGTATGTATCAGACACGTCGATAATGATGCCCTTGTCAGGGATACCAACTGTGGCAATAGTCGCAGTATTACATCTTTCTTTCTCACGTTAGTTTAATATCTTTCAACAAAAGTACCTTTCGTACGTGTATATCTAATATATTATTAAAAAAAAAAAAAAAAAAAGAGGAACTTAGCATGCAATTATTTTTCTTAAAGAGAGACGATGTAAATTAATGAAAGAAACAACTTCATATCCTGATAGAAACACCATTTTTCGTTTCAAGCACATTCCTGAATTCGACTGACTGCTTACTGGTTTAAGATTGACGAACGATTCAATAAACATATTTCGAAATAGTTTGGTTGATATATCGTGAATATGATCGTGCCGTTTAAATTGCACGTTCTCTCGACGAAAGAAACTCTCACACGTTTTACCAGCCCCCACATTCCTCTCCCCATTACTACTGCAACATACTGTCATCCATATGGCTCGCGCAAGAACCTTTATTTTTTTTTTTCCCCCTTTCACTTTTCTTCCCACCGTTTAGTTCCATTATAGAATATTTATTATTGTACGATAATTCTATCCTCCCCTCCCCCCACCCTGTATCTTTCCCCGTCCCCTCGCTGCTCTATATCGATTTAAACAATTTATTCGTTTCGATAGAAACGCACATTGGATCGTTAATCCTTGAAATGAAAATAATATTTCTTGTGAAAATCGATGAAACATAATTCATCGTCAAAGTTTTACGCTATTATTCTTTAACAACGAAGCAGCAAATTGATCGGTGCCATTATAGAAGAATCAAAATGAAACTGGGAATGTTAGTAATGCCGAATGTAATCCAGAACTTCATCCCTAGGAGAAAATAACCCCTGGGCGTTCTCGTAGTGACACAGCAGGGAGAAGACTTACAGGATCGAAGACTAGCATCTGGCAGAGCAAATGGACGGCCTCGTGCGTCGCCTGGCTGCTGAGGGTATAGAGAGCCGTCAACGAGGGTGGTTTCGGTGCACGCCTCAGCATGTGAGTCCTTGCACCCTCGCAAGCGTACCTCATGTCCTCGAGGGTTGGGGTGCCTAGCAGTTCCGTGATCAATTCCAACTGAGAGAAAAATAAAAAAAAAAAAAAAAAAAAAAAAAAAAAAGAAAGAAAGAAAAATAGAAAGATCGTTATAAACGAAACTCCGACGTCAAGTTTTAAGATATCTCTTTATTTTTCCTCTATTTCTCACTCTTTCTCTCTCTCTCTCTCTCTCTCTCTCTCTCTCTCCCCACCCCTTAAAAATTTTTTTAAGCGTTACGTTTATATCGAAAAATAATCGAAAGAATTTCTTCGTAGATCATCTTTCGTCGATGCGTTTTTGTTTGTGCTTTATAAAATGATGTCTTTTTTCTTCTTCTTTTTTTTTCTTCTTTTTTTTTTCTTCTTCTTTTTTACATTCTCTATAACGCGTATCGCAAAAGAAGTTAATTCAGTTTTCCGGAAGCTTTTCTTTTTTTTTCACCTGTACGACGATACAAATATGCATGTATGCATGGTATGCATGTATGCATGTATGTATGTATATATGTATGTTTATATAACGAGGCAAACAAGATATAAGATCGAGAAGATATGGTTACCTGTTGCACAGGACTCTGAGCTTGAAAGAGAATTCGTCGTCGAAGAAGCTCGCCGAAAATGCAACCGACGCTCCATACATCGACGGCTGCGGTATAATGTCGTGCACCCATTAGAATTTCCGGGGCACGATAATACTGCGTTACCACTTCCTGAGTCATGTGCTTGTTCTGGTCGGGCTCTTCCACGCGTGCCAATCCAAAATCACAGATCTGTTTGACGTAAATTTTTTTTATATATAATAGTTGGTAATGATAGTTCGATGTGACGAAAAGTAAATTGGCTAGGTTATTTTTTTTTTTTTTTTTTTTTTTTTTTTTTTTTCTTTTTTTCAGAAGGACATATTTACTTTTAAGACGCAATTGCTGTTCACTAAAAGATTCCCTGGCTTGATATCTCTATGGAGAATTCTGGCTGAGTGAAGATACTTCAGACCTAAAATTGAAAACAGAAAAAGGGAATCATTTTTAATTATTTTAATCATTAATATTTACATATATATATATATATATATATATATATATATATATATATATAGAAAAAAGACAAAGAAAAAATTGTAAGTTTTTTAAAAAGAGAAAGAGAAAGAGAGAGAGAAAGAGAGAGAGAGAGAGAGAGGAAGAGAGAGAGGGGCAAATAGAATATCTCGAATTCCTCGACCTCGATTTCACGCGAAGAAATATCATGGCGTGCTCGTTAAGGCCACTTCGCTCTAGCATTCAGAAGAGATTATCCGGCGTTTAGCTTCCGCGAGAACGTTCGTCTATGTCTATGTCCTATGTCTATGTCTATGTCTATGTCTATGCTAGTGTCTCTGTATGTTTCTATCTCTCTCTTTCTCCTTCTGTCACACACACACACACACATACACACACACACACACACAAAATCTCTATAGACGTCTCTCCACGTTTATATCTACATCCGTATTTACGTCTATGCCTATCTATGTCGCGTCGTTAGCTCCCTACTCGCCTATCCCCTTCCGCATAAGCGAGATGTAGCTGTGTTTAAAGGGAGGACCGATAATCCGTTCCCTATTCAGTTCGCACCCCAAACGTATCCTCCCTCTCCCCCCCCCATTCCCGTTTTTCCATACCCCGTCAAACCCTTCCCTTCCCCTTCCCCTATTTTAGTTCTATGCTACGTATAGAACCCGTTGTTACACCGAAGGGTTAGCGAGAAAAAAGAAGAAAAAAAAATGGAAAAAAAAGGGCCAGAAAAGAGTTGTCGAAAAAACTCACGAACGTGAGTTATTAGCCTATTTGTTTTCCTTCCCCCTCTTCCCATTTTCTTTTTTCTTTCGTTTTATCAAAAGCTCAAAATGTAATACTGAACACAAAACTATAATAGTAAAATATCATATCATTTATTTCATGAAATCATTGAAATCAATTATTTCTCCATGGGACAGCAAATATAATTCCAGTATATGATTATGGGTTGATATGATAACAATTCAACTCGGTTTACACGTCGATGCTATGTATGTATGTAATAGGATGCGAAACGATAGAATACAGTCCCGTCTATATCGATGTACCGTTTACCGTTCCAATCATCGATACACCTCTGCGCTATTGTAATCTCGGTTATAGTATCACATGTAGTTCCTCCTCTTATCGTTTAGAGAATATATCCGACTAAATTTCGTGGTATTTTCTACTTACAAGTAGAAATTAATTAGTATGGAAAATCATGTGAGAATGATATTTTTCGAAATATATATATATATATATATATATATATATATATATCGAAATGAACAGATAAATAGATAGATAGATAGATAGAAAGAGAAAGAGAGAGAAAATGTAGAGAGATGAAAGGAGCTAAAAGAGCGCGCGCGCGCACCAGAAAGAGGGAAAGAGAGAGAGAAATAATGTGAAGGGTAAGAAAAAGAGGGGTGTAAAAGGGGTGGTGCAAGTTGTGGTGATGGAGAAGAAGGAAGGGATGACTGCTGTTGAAGGTGAGGCTGCAATAAGAGCAGGAACATCAGTGCCAGATGAATGTGCCGTGAGTCATGCTGCTGCATTCAAGCAGCTAGACTTTTCTCTCCCTGCAATAAAACTCGCTAATATTACTGGGGTAATCTGCCCCGTGGGTTGCGTCCGGTTAGGAATCTACCCTTCGGTAATTAAAGTCTCCCGCCGACGGGTTTCACTCACGATGGATTTCTCATCTCTCCTTTACTTTTTACTCTCTTCAGACGAACGAAGAAGGAAGAAGCATTTTTCTTCATCCGGATCAACGGATTTTCCCTTTCTTTCTTCATTTCTTTTTCTTAAGGTATTCTCCGGTATTGTAATTTTTTTTTTCTTCTTTCCTCCACCCTCACCCACCCCTTAAATTATACCTTCTTTCGTCGCAAGTAATTCTTCATTGAATATGTATATATATATATATATATATACACACACACACACACACACACACACACACATATAATTTAACAAGTGTATAGCGGTAATTCGTCTGAATCTTTAAAATTATTATCGTTGTATCATTTTACTTTTGTCGTACTTCCTTCGATATTAGAAATGCAATTGAGAGAGTTGATAGTCCATCGTTTGTATCAAAATCGATAAGATATGTATCTACATCGATATCATATCCCAAGTGTATGAATAATATATTCAATCGTGGTAAGCGTTATATGCGGTAGATCGCTTTCAATTATCTCTATAATTAGTCCAGCTTAATCCGAAGCTTACGCTTTGCGATTACAGGAAAAGCGATATTTGGATTTACATCCAATCCACAACTGTATGTGTGTGTATATATAGATATATGTATGTATATATGTATGTGTTATGAGAATCATTCATATTAATCTCTTTTTATACACCACATACACATACACACACACACACACACACATGCTTTTATATTCCTAGACTTATGGTTTTACAATTTGAAAAAAAATTAGCCTAAAATGTGTAAAAAAAAAAAAAAATAGTAATTGATTTTTTCAAATAGATTAGGAACTTTTGGTCCACCCTATATATATATATATACATATTTAAAAAAGTTCAATGACCATAATGATATAGTATATATAAAAAAGCTTGCTTCTCTCTCTCTCTCTCTCTCTCTCTCTCTTTTTCTCTCCCTCCCCCTCTCTCTCTTTCTTTGTTTAATACATTTTGTTGCTGAAAGCGACGACGATTGCACGCTAACTTCAAAATTATCTGCAAGGTCAACGAATCGTTCGTCCAACGGTTTCTCCTCCTCCTCCTTCTCCTCTTTCTCCTTCTCCTCTTCCACCTTTCAGTTCTCCTCCTCCCCTTTCTCCCTCTCTTCTTTCGCTTCTTAAAATACACACCTGACTTTGCCCTCATCCCTCAACGGCCTTCTTCTCCTTTCTTCTTCTATTTCGCGACGCGATCGATCAGCTGATTCACAAAGAAGCGCCACGCCGCACACTTCATCGTTGTCATTTCACACAAATAATCTAAGCGCTATTCTTTTGTCCGTATTATTATCTTTACAAGTTCATTAAACTAAGGAAGTATCATAGTCATTTTTCTTTTTGTAACATTTCGATTATACCGTTAAACGATCACTAATTCGTTTTGATGTTTCTTTTTGTTTGAATATTTTTCTTGTCTTTTCTTTTTCTTTTTTTTTCTTTTTCTTTTTTTTTTTTTTTTCCTTTCTCCTTTTTATCAAAATTATTTTTACAATTTCTCCAAAGTTTTTACAAATTCACTAATTCATTATGAACGAATAAAAATGTGTTCTATGATAAGAACAATGGAGTCTATCGAATGACATTGACGATGGCGTTTTCCTATGTAATTTCGTTTACGTTAAGAGACATTGAAACGATGGTTACAGTGCAAACATTAGTTGAATCGTATATGTAGAACAAGAAATCGTGTGGTGACTGTAGATGCACAGTCATTTGATTCTCTCTCTCTCTCTCTTCTCTCTCTCTCTCTCTCTCTCTCTCTCCCTCACTCTCTCTTTCTTTCTCTCTCGTAATCCTAGAGTCTTTGTTACTCTATCCATTCTATTAGTAACATTAACGATGACGTTTGTAACTTTACTTATGTTAAGACATTGGAATGATGGGTTTATAGTGCAACATCGTTGAATCTAATATGTAATGCAAGAAACTACGATGACTATGCGCACGTAAGTCATTTTATTATCGCTTTCTCGTCCAATCTAAAAAAAAAAAAAATCCCTTTACTTCTCTATTAATAATATCGACGATGCAATCGTATAGATAAATAGTAACGAAGAAAAAATACGAAACAAGGCAAAAAAGAAAAAGAAAAAAAAGAAAACGAAAGAAAAAGAAAAAAAAAAACAAATCAAAAAACAAAAAAGAAAAGATAAGAGAAATACAGAGAGATCTATTGAAAGGAATGAAAAATCTTTGGTTAAATGAAACAATTCAAAGAGAGTTGCAATATCTTAGGTCAGTCTGAATCGACATTCCAGGGTTCATCGTACTTGGTTATGCATGTGCATGTGCACGTAGAAGTGCATATGCATGTGCATTCACCCAAAGTCGATGTCGATTCATCATTTCTTCCTTTCCAGGGGCGTCGGACGACGGATCGATAGAGTCTCCCACGGAGGAAAAGAAAGAAAAGGAAAATTTTTAAAGAAAGACAAAAAGAAAGAAAGAAAGAAAGAAAGAAAGAAAGAAAGGAAATGCGAGAGCAAAGAAAGCGGCAGTACGTATTATACGCGCTGGTATAAGCGTCGACTGTGTACGAAAGTCAAGGTCGAAGGACTGGCTGCGTCGCGTATTAACGTAAGCAAGGTCATCGGTACGTACAATCGCTTTTGCTTCTCCCAGTTGCCAGTACATTGTCCTTGATCAGGCACCTGTCGTTAACCTCCTTGTCGGTCGATTTCGAACGATCGAGAATGCAGCGCATTCATTTGCATGCGAAACATCGAAAGCTGTGTAAAATTTGTTTCCTTCCTTTGATTCTTTTTTTTCCCCCTTTTTCTTCTTATTTATTTATTTATTTATTTATTTATTTATTCATTCATTCATTCATTCATTCATACATTTATTTTTTCTTTTTCTTTTCTTTTCTATTCTCTTTCTAATTTTTTCTAAACTTGCTACGAGTATTCCTATTGTATATTGTATTTCTGGTATATGTCTCTTTACATCATCGTTGTCATGAAATTTGGCTAACAAATATAATGGCAGAGAAACTAGGACGATCGAATATATCCAAGGGACTTTCTTGCTTACTCGGGAACGTCGGACTCGATGTCTGACTAAGCACCGATCCTGACTACTGACAAGTAGTACTACATACTTTAGAAAGTTGATCCCCACTTAATCGATATATATATACATATATATATATATATATATATATATATATATATATATATATACTACGATATTTCTATTTAACGAATACGAATGTTATAATAAATAACATAAGCATGTCATT